ATAACAGAAAGGATAGTACAAACAGTAAAGTAAATATTCTCCCTAAAAATATAAGCAACAGAACTAAAAGAAATCTTATCAATAAAGAAAAAACAAACAGCACAATTATAACAAGGTCAAAGCTTAAAATATTGCAGAATTAACTAAATACTAAAGACTACAGATTAAATATAAATAAATCTAGACGTAAATATGACACTTAAGATATTACAATGGAACATTAATGGCTACACAAACAATTATAATGAACTGCTAATCCTAATCAAACTACACAATCCCTAAGTTATCTCCCTTCAGGAAACACACATAACCCTCTCCCAACAATTCCCCATCCCTGTCAATTTCAAAATGTACAACACAACGTCAATTATAGCAAAAGGTGGAGTCGCCTTATTGATCCACAAAGATGTCCAACATAAACCAATTCCGGTAGGACAAAATTTTGATGCCATAGCTTTAGAAATCTACTCCAAGCAAAAAGTTAACATCCTATCCACTTATATTCCACCTTCTCAAAAATTCACCACTTCAGATTTAGAAAACACTATTCCACAGTCATCAACACCTTCGCTGATCACTGGTGATTTTAACGGTTGGAATACTCTGTGGGGCTCCCCAAGAGCAATCGCAGGGGTAGGATTCTCAGTGAATACATTTTAAAAAACAATTATATAATTCTAAACAATGGCCAGCCTACCCATTTCTCCACCCACAACTCTTACACCCACATCGATCTTGCCTTATGCTCTCCAAGCCTTAAAATTCACTGTGAGTTTAAAATAATGGACTCACCCCAGGGTAGCGACCATTTCCCTATAACAATCAACATATTTAACAAAGAAAAAAAGATATTTAATTACACAAGCAAATTTCTAACCAAAAAAGCAAATTGGGAAAAATTTGAAAATCTTACAAATTGTCTCCATAGCCAGATCCCTGTTTCAACAAACACAAACAAAGAACACAGCAACATAAACAAAATAATACTAAATAGCGCTTACAATAGCATCCCCCAATCCCATTCTCCAAAAACTCAATACAATGTCCCATGGTGGAACAAAAAATTAAATATCTTGAAAACTAAAAAAAACCGAGCATGGAGATTGTTTAATAGGGAAATGAATCAAGAAAACCTAATACAATATAAAAAAGCCAACGCCCAGTTCAGAAGAGAAATTCGCCTCAGTAAGAAAGAAAGTTTGCACGCACTGACCTCCACCATTTCAAGCCAATCCAAAGCGGAATTAGTCTGGAATAACATCAGGCAATTCTGCGGGATTCACAAATCAACACACATTCATTGTATCCAAAATAGCAATAAAAACTCAACGGTCACAAATTCAAAAGACATAGCTACAGCCTTTTCCAAACACTGGTCATCTAATTCAGAGGACCAAAACTTCCCCCAGTCATTTAGAGACGCCAAAAATAACACATACAGATCAGACACCAACTATCTACCCAACAAAACAGCCGACTTTATGGAACTAGACATTACGGACCTTGAATTTAATGCTGCTTTGAACAGTCTAAAGGGGAACACCCCAGGAAACGATAAAATAAACTATATAATGATAAAGCACATCGGAAAACCAGTTAAAAAAGATTAATAAACTTTTTCAACTCAATCTTAAGTTCTTTTATCCCTCAGGCTTTTAAAATTAGCACCGTAGTCCCAATTCACAAAGCAGGCAAAGACAAAACGACAATAGAATCATACAGACCAATCTCCCTTAACCCATGCATTGCAAAAACGCTTGATAAAATAATTTCCAAACGACTGTGGTGGTTTGTTACCTCTAACAAACTTCTCAACAGCCGTCAAGTTGGATTTAAAAGAGGGAAGTCTGTGACAGACTGTCTACTATATGTAGACACTATCATCAGCAGGACCCTTTCAGAAAAAAAACACGCCTCGGTCATAGCACTTGACTTCGAAAAAGCTTTCGAGAAGGTAGGACTTCACACCATAAAAAGCCAACTGAACCAATGGGGTTGCGGACCCAAGTTAACAAAATATGTAACACAATTCATGACAAGCCGTAAAATCAGAGTCAGAGTAAACCACAGTCAATCGCTAATCCAGCCACTCCACAACGGGATACCCCAGGGCTCCCCATTGTCGGTAATATTATTCCTTATAGCATTCAATAGCTTATCAGACACCATTTGCAGGCATAAAAATTTAAACTTCATTGCATATGCTGATGACTATAACATAATAATAGATCTCAAAAAAGAAAAGAACTTGCAAATCGACTTGAACCGCCTCTTTGAAGACATTAATAACTGGTGTAATACATCAGGAGCTTCATTGTCTATCACAAAATGCAAACATATGCATATTTGCAGAAAACAATGCTGCACTTGCCAAGTATCCACACAAACACATGTTATTGAATCAGTAAAAGAACTAAAAATATTAGGAGTATCCTTCGACTCAAAATATAGTTGGAAATCACACATCAATAATTTAACTAAATCTCTAACTAAATCGTCAAATATAATAAAATTCCTAGCAAACGATAAGTACAATTGTCAACCAACAACCCTAGTCCAAATCGTGAAAAGCTTATCCTTATCAAAAATAAATCAAAATTTTATCATTTTATCATCATTTTCCTGACAAAATCCTAAAAAACAAAATAACAAAATACAGAAACTCAGCCATACAAAAGAGTATCATCTCCTGTAGCAACCTTGGCCTCCCGGTCAACCCAATAAAACCCACGCCAAAGTCAAATCCGCCATGGAATCTAAGTCCTGAATCAATAGACATAGCCTTAAGCAAATACAGAAAAGACCAAACAAATTTGTCAGTATTCATAAAAGAATTTTCAGACATAAAATCAAAAATGAACAACTTCACATTTATTTATACTGACGGATCCCTTTACAACCATATACCTGCATACGCCATAACCACCGAAACCACTGTCCTTAAAATGGCCATACTTCCGACCTACTCCTCAGTCTTTACTGCAGAAATAATCGCTATATTAGAAGCCATCGAGATAAGCCGCACAATAAAAGGAAAAATCTGCATCTGCTCCGACTCACTGTCTGCCTTAAATTCAATAAAAAACATTGACAACAACTCACATTACCCCACATTAATTAGAGAATCAATTACAAAGCTCTATCCAAAAATAAAAATCTTGTGGATTCCAAGCCACGTGGGAATCATAGGAAATGAATTTGCTGATAACGCCGCTAAATACGCAACTACAGCACCTTTGGTCACGACAAAAAATCTCAACCAGACCGATATAAACAAATACATAAAATCGAAGCTATCTAACAATTCACTAAACCTATTACAAAACACATCAAGCTGGTACCAAACTATTAACATAAATTATACTAACATCAATGATTACTCCAAAAACAAGGAAATCACCAGTCTACCAAGACGAGATCAAACTAAATTCATTAGATTACGTCTAGGGCATACAAGACTCACCCATCAGTATAGAATGCTGCAATCGACATCTAACACCTGCCAGTTTTGCAACCAAGTTGCAATGACTTTGAACCACATACTTAATGAATGCGTAGCATTTAATCCTGCCCGAAACCCCTTCCCAAATGGTAACCTCCATTCTGCCATTGCAAATCCTACAACCAGCAACATCCTGAGAATCCTAAATTTTCTTAAAAAAAACAAAGACAATCAATCTTATCTAATAATTAAGCGTCCAACAACACAATAGAAATAAGAAAACTAATTTTCGAATTATATAGAATTGTGCAAAAACTTGAATTCCACATAGACGAATACAGACATTAGGATTAAGTAAATAACAAAAAATGTAACTACGAAAACAAAAAATAAAATAAATGAGCCAGCCGAAAGCCTTAGTAGCTATGGCTGCAACGCCCCCCCCTGTAGCTTTAGTTTTAACTTTAAGCTAACAGAATGTAAATAAATAAATAAATAAATGTTTAATATACAGTAGCGTACAATTAAATCCGGACACCTAAGTACTTGCACTAAATGCACTAAATCGAATTGAAATTTTTTTGTTATATCCGGAAGCTTTCATGATCTATATATTAAATTTCTTTCGAATTTCTTTCTTTCTTTCTTTCTTGACTGAAAATTTTCAAGGGGCCATATTGGCCCTACAATCGAAAATCTTAAGCTTCCAAGGAATAAGCTCTAACGTTGGACTTATTAAGTCTTCTTTCGAGGATTTCCTACAAAATTTTAAGAAAACCAGAACTCTAAAGCATTTTCCAGGATCAGCAAAGAAAAAGAAGACCAACTACCACAAGGATCGAATCCTTTCACGATTAGGCATGGCTGATCGTTTGAAATCAGCAAAACATGTAAGAAGTAAGTTTTTCCAGTTGAAAGGAGTTGAAATAAGCACTCGAACCGTTTGAAGGAACATTGAGGAGGCAGGACTTCATGGCCATTCAAAAATGCTCCAGAAGGCTACAGTGGATCAAAATGCACGAATCTTGGACTGTACATGTGTGCCGAAACGTCATTTTTTTTAACGACACCAAAATAATCCATTTGTCTTACAATAGTATGAGCTAGGTGCGCCCCAAACGCGACAAACGCTTCAAAAATAATTGCTTACGGCGAAAGGTCAGACAAGGAGCATGTCGGATGGTCCGAGGATGTTTTTCTTACTATGGCGTTGGTGATCTGGCATTAATTGATGGAACTGTGAATGCTAAAAAGTTCCAGGGTGTTCTGAATCGTCACCTTCTACCCTCAGTGGAGGAGCATCTTTCTTGTGCCCCAAACATAATATTTCAGGTTGACTCAAGTCCTTTAAAAGTTAAAATACATAAAAACAAAACCAAAATAATAAGAGAATTTAATTTTGCAGTGGAAAGTGTCTGTTATAAAGAAATAATTTATTACATAAAAAAAACAAGTAAACGCTGTCTGAAAAAAACTATAAAAGTAGTATTTTCTGCCTGTCCGGATTTTATTATCCGCTACTGTATGTACGTTACCTTACAGTGTTCAAAATTTTATATTACAGTTTGGTCACACCTAGCTTTTATTTAAGATTGACAAATTGTATTTATGTTTCTTATGTATGACGATTGAAAAACCGAATAGCGAATAATTTTACTGACTTTTTACCTTACATGCTCGTTTATTTATTATGAACTGTTTTTAAATTAATTATTATAATATCCCCTATATCGTGTTTTGTCGGTACAATAGGCGTTTATGCATCGGCATTCGTTTGATGAAATATTTTTTGATTCACCTATTCTGCAACACAGGAATGGTATATATTGAACCGTTTTTATTTATTTTAATTGCTTTTATATTAAGAAAAAACAGTTTTAATCCAACACCACCCAACATGCACATGTTATACATGTACATATATACATACATATATAGGATGAGTTTTAATTCTTTTCATTTTCATATGTTCCTATATTTTAGGATATACAACAGCTCGAGGTACTCTGCAAGCAGCTTTATGAAGCAACAGACGTTAGTGTTCGGGGTGAAGCTGAAAAAGCCCTTGCACTATTTGTATCCAGTCAAGATGCATTGCAAAAATGTCAAATGCTTTTGGATAGAGGAAATTCAAGCTATGCCCAATTGCTAGCTGCCTCGACTTTAACCAAGCTTATACAAGGACTCACTATTGAACAAAGGATTCATATTCGGAGCTATACGCTAAGCTATTTAGCTACGAGAACTAATTTGCAACATTTTGTTATTCAGGCGCTAGTTACTCTTCTAGCAAAAATTACAAAATTAGGATGGTTCGATGCTTACAAAGGAGAATTTGTCTTTCAAAACTTATTAGAAGATGTTAAAACATTTTTACAGGTTAAAAATGGTCGATACTAGTGTAAAGAAAATATTTATCAAATATTTATTATAGGGCTCTGTGGAGCATTGCATTGTTGGAGTTCAAATCCTTTCCCAATTGGTTTCCGAAATGAACTCAATAGTGGAGTTAGATGCTCATTTGTCTTTTTCTAAAAATCGAAAAATAGCCACATCCTTTCGTGACCTCCAGCTCTACGACACTTTTCTTTTATCGTGCTCCCTATTGATAACAGCTCGTGAGAATAGCAAAAACATAAATTTTTCTGATGATTTGCAGCAAACGTAAGTTTTGTATTTTTGTATATGTATTTTTATGTAAATAAAAAAATTTTTTCAGCATGTGGCTCTCTAAATTGCTTTTTATACCCTTGCAGTAGGTTTCATAATGTTGTCAAAAGTGTGCAACGCGTCAAATGAGATATGATATGTCCGTCCCTATAAATTTATACTCTATAGCAGCGGTGCCAAAAACACATGTGTGTCACATGTGATTGAAAATTTCTCTGTCAGACCTCTGCCTTCACACGGACACTGTAAACGCCCTATAACGATCTCCCTATGGGGAGAATTCTGCTAATTCGAAACGAATACAAGTCTAACATGTGAATGTATTTATGTGGGCACCACTAGCTTATAGGGTGTGTGTGCGGCAGAACTGAGGCGGAGAAATTTCATATGCCCCCAGAATTGGGCCCTGCCGACCAGTGGTATAAAGTATTTAAATATGTATGTATATCACAGCATCACCTTCCAATATGAGCAAAAATTACACAGTGCGACAGTAAAATATTTTTATAAATAATTTCAATTTCTCCATAACCTTACGGTTCCCCTGAACCAAAGTTCAACAAACATATATACATATTTATATACTTATGTTGTTCCATCACCAAGTTTGGAAATATATAGGCCGCGTTATTTCGTTGGCCATCATTGTTAAACCTTTGCAGAGGGTATTATAATTTTGTCCAAAAAAGGGCCAAGAAGTGAAGGAGACATCTCCGACCCTATAAAGTATATATATGTATTCTTGATCAGAATCACCTCCCTAGTTAATATGAGCATGCCCGTCTGTCTGTTTCTACGCAAACTAGTCTCTCAGTTTTAAAGCTATCGACTTGAAACTTTGCACACACCCTTCTTTCCTTTGCACGCAGTACATAAGTCGGAACGGCCGGGATCGGCCGACTATATCCTATAGGTGCCATATAACTGATTGACCGGAACTGCTATAACTTTGATGTTTTCGGAGTTAGAGAGTTCGGATTTTGCATGAATGCTATTTTTGGCAAAATAATACGATGCGATAATAATAATAATACGATAATAAATGCCAAATTTCATAAGGATCGGTCATTTACAGTCAGCAAAGAAATTATTCGGACACTGAAATATACTTATATAAAGGCTTATTTCTGGGAAAAAAAGAAATTTTTGGCAGTGTTTTTATTTTTTTCTATTAAAAACTGATTTTTCAAAACATATTATTAAATAAAATTTTAATTATTTTCATTGTGTATATAAATAAAAAGAAAAGCAAAACAAGGGTTTAAAATTCGGCAAAAAAAATTATTCGTACGGCTTCAAGATTATCTGTTTTCTTTTTGAATACAACCGTAATTGGCGTTTTTTTTTGGAAATTTACTTAGAAATACTTCGATCTAGAAAAATACGTGCGTTTTTATACCCTTGCAGAGGGTATTATAATTTTGTCCAAAAGTGTGCAACGCAGTGAAGGAAACATCTCCGACCCTATAAAGTATATATATTCTTGATCAGGATCACCTCCTGAGTTGATATGAGCATGTCCGTCTGTCCGTCTGTCTGTTTCTACGCAAACTAGTCTCTCAGTTTTAAAGCTATCGACTTGAAACTTTGCACACACCCTTCTTTCCTTTGCACGCAGTATATAAGTCGGAACGGCCGGGATCAGCCGACTATATCCTATAGCTGCCATATAACTGATTGATCGGAAATGGTATAACTTTGGTGTTTTTAGAGTTAGAGAGTTCTAATTTGACATGAGAGCTATTTTTGGCAAAATATTACGACATGCCAAATTTCGTAAGGATCGGCCGACTATATCCTATAGCTGCCATATAACTGAAGGATCGGAAATGACCCAACTTTCGTGTTTTTGAAGATAGAAAACTGGAACTTGGTACACATTCTATTTTTTTTCAGTTAATCCGATCTACCAAATTTTATAACGATCGGTTGACTATATCTTATAGCTGACATATAACTACGATCGGAAATGGTTTTTGGTAGAAATATGAACTTTCATATTTTTGAAGATAGAAGCTTGGCATTTTTTTTTAGATTTTTTATTGTAATTAATTGGTTTTATTATGATGTAATCATAAGGATCGGCCAACTATATCCGATGTTTGCGATATATATCCGGTTTTAGCTGCAAGGGTATATCAACTTCGGCTCCGCCCGAAGTTAGCTTTGCTTTCTTGTTTTATGCTATGTTTTACTTTTGCTTTCGAATTATTAATAAAAAAAATGTGTGTTAACGGGTGTCCGAATAATTTCTGTGCTGACTGTATATCCTATAGCTGCCATATAACTGAACGATCGGAAATGACCCAGCTTTCGTGTTTTTAAAGACAGAAAGTTGGAACTTCGTGCTTATTCTATATTTAATCACTGGTATAAAGTCACTGGTATACTTATTGACCGGCCGACTATATCTTATAGCTGCCATATAACTGAACGATCGGAAATGGTATTTGGTAGAAATACCAACTTTGGTATTTTTGAAGATACAAGCTTGGCACTTTTTTTTTAGATATTTTATTGAAATAAATTGGTTATTTTATGATATTCTCATAAGGGTCAACCTATATCCGATGTTTGTGATATAAATATATCCGGTTTCACCTGCAAGGGTATATCAACTTCGTCTCCGCCCGAAGTTAACTTTCCATTCTTGTTTTTAGTACGTATCATTTTTGAAATGTATGTTTACCAGCTCAATTATGAACTGGCATCTATAAGTTACCACATTTTTGGAATATTCATCCAAAGTTAAAATCTCAGATTTTATAAAGTTACTAGCTGACCCGGCAAACGTTGTTTTGCCAGCAGATGACTTTATAATTTCTGTACAAAATTTACTCAGTTAGACTTATCTATTATAAAGTCATCTGGATCGCTGTGAACCATGATAAAACCATAAAAATAACAAAAGGAAAATATTATTTTTAAGGTATTATTTGATCGCAATTCAGCAAGTCAATCTCTGTAACACGTTAGAATCTGGATCCGTGCCGATAAGTAAGCCGTTCAATGGTTCAGGTGGCGTTTCAATTTCTGGTAGTTACAGTTTTCCTGACGCGCAACACATGTGAGCATAATACTCAATATCAGGCTCATACTGGAATTCTAGACACAGGAATGAATCAGATATAAATGCTCGATGTACCTGTTGTCGTTGTTGGTCATTTGTTCTGCGTCTATTGACTGTGAAACGGCGTGATTTTTGTTCTAATCTTCTGACTTCATTGCGTTCAGATCGTGTATCTTCAGGCTCTTCTTCATACAATTGCGCTATTCTTACACGTACATCTGTATTTTGTTGCTGGATCGGTTTTTTCTTCGGTTTTTTCGGATCTTCTATTTCGCATGTTTCGAGATCTACTTGTATCACGGCTCAAATTACCCCCTTAACCCCACTTTTTATATGCGATTTTTGGTATGTCGAACCAATTTAAGAGGATGAAAAATAGATGTTGGCGGATTCTCAGACCTACTCAATACTCTCAGAAAATGAGAATCATGAGAATCGGTATAGCCGTTTCGGAGGTGTATGGTTACAAAAACTGTGACACGAAAATTTTATATATAAGATTTTTGGCTTCTATGATTGTTTTCCAAACACTTTTCTGTGGAAGATTTTTTCTCTTATTTAAATAGGTAGATTACACCATATCAAATCATGACTATGTCCTTCAGGTGCTATATACATGATTCATCGGAAACGGTTTGGTTTTCGTAAATGGTTATACGCAGTGGAGCGACCCGAAAAACAGCAATCAGTTTATCAATTTTCGAGAAATCGAGATTTACCGAGACAGTGTTTTCTAGAAACACTTCAGAAAAACGAGTTCAAAGTATAATAAAATGAAACGAGTACGATTTTTTTTTAAATTTTTTTGAAAATTATTTCTTTGTAACCCCTTAAGTTGGGATTTCTTACAGATTGTATTTAGGGTCAACTATCGAGGATTCGATCTTATTTAAATATTTTAATTCTAAGAAATTGGTTTTAAATTGAAGTTCTCATAAGAATTGCCAACTATATCCGACATTTGCGACATATACATATGGGCATTTCCTGGGGTCGCGAACGTACATTCGTACGCAACTAGTGCCAAAAAATTAAAGAAAAAACATTTTCTGATACTTTTTTTTTTTGTTTCCGATAGCATTTGGTGAGTTCTTTTCTTAGTGTAAATTATGATTCTAATGGATTTTTCATTTTCATAATATTGGAAAAAAACATGAGGTCGCGAACGTACGCGAAATGGAAGTTGCTTTTGGCTTGCTTTAGCAAAATCAATAAATCTGCGAATTGGATTGGAATATTTTAATGCAATAACTTTCCTTTTAAAATAGAGGCATGTAGCTTTCTATCGAGTCTATTCACAATTAAATATCTCCCTTAATTTTTTTTAAATTAAATGTTTTTTTGTTTGTTTACCTCTTTGTTTTTATAAATAAATTTATATTTTCTTAAAAAATCATGTTTCACCAATTTTTTTTTAATAAAAAATTAAATTTTAATTTTATGTTTAATTTTAATTTAATTTAATTTAAATTGTCAATTCTTTTATCCATCTACAACTATTACAAGCTTGTTAACAATAAAGAAATTTTTTTTTTAAATAGTATTATTTTTTATACGTACGTCATACATACGGTCGCAAACGTACGCCACTTTAAAATTCAATATAAAAAAATTTTATTGAAAAAGTCGGGATTTATTTTTAAATTTCAATAGTTTGCACTAAAATGACAACACATGAAGTTTCATCCACCTGCTTTCACTTGATGCGAAGCAATTACAATAAAATTATGTTTTTGAGAACATAGAACATAGATAAGAATCAAAGTACAAATTAAGAGGTAATTGAACATTTTTTCGCTCTCTTAGAATTTTTCTCGTCTTATTAGATTGTTATTAAGCGATTTAGTACAAAAAGAGCAAACACATAATATGTTTTCCTAAACACATAATTACATTTTTTGACTTTTCCGGCTTTTTTTTTTAA